TCCCCCCCCCCCCCCCTCCCCCAAGAACAAACAATTTAGATCATTTAAGAGATGGGCTGCTCCCACTTCCAAATCTGAGATGTGAGGGATATATATACAGCACCCTAGCTGACAGGGGGAGGAAACTGTACAGATGTCAGATGTCTAACACTATATTCACATTTCGACTGTATTATTTATATGTACACATAATATTATATGTATTTATGTAATATACATAGATAAATAAAGGCTCATTCATCTTCACCTATGGCAGAAAACATACAACACATCAAACACACGTTCTCTTCTAGACCTCCGACGCGCTTCTCGGGACATATCTGTCCGTGCAAGCAGCATAGTCTCACCATTCCAAACTTAATATAATAATAATAATAATCATCATCATAAATAGCTCTTGTATAGCACAAATCCCTGCTCAACAGCAAGCTCTATGCGCTGTACAATCTATACTATTAACCCAGCAGACACTCTAACACCCAGAGATACACTCTCAGCTACCAGAGAAGCGCCCAGTGTAAGCTCAGCTGCGATTTCACGCGTTCATCAAACACTGTCAAACTGAACAGGCCTTTTACTTTTGCTGTCAAATAGCTGGGTACCCATTCCCACCTGGGTGATGAAGTGAGGAAAATTTGAGTAACGTGCCTTTCCCAGGAACACAACATCGGGCCCCCTGACGGGATTCGAACTAACTACCTCACTGTTGTAAGTCGGACAGCCGTTCCGCTGTTATCACCATTACAATCCTAAATGTGAAAAGGCGATTGGAGTAGCATCCTAGACCCTTGAACCAGCCTTCTTGACCCTTGAACCTAAGAGCAGTGGTCTCGACCCTTGACCCTTGAATCAGCATCCTTGACCCTTGAATCAGCATCCTTGACCCTTGAACCTTGGAGCAGCAACCTTGAACCTTGAGGCAGAAGTCTAGTCAACATCTGCACCTTTTGCTGTAGCTGAGTCGTCCCGGCTCAGGGGAAGTTCGCACACGTTTTGCCAGTCTTGACGAAAGGATAAATAAGTAATTGTCCAAGTTATCTTCACCCAGCGACACTTTGGGGATAATCTCTGTGGTGGGTAGCTTTGACACTGCTGGTCAGTGCTACTAAGGCAAGCTGACAGCGATACAACATTCCAGTAGAAAGGGCCAAAGATTACTCTCTTCATCATCATCATAAAATAGGATAAAATGCCAGGTCTGAAATATAAACATCCGTGATCATGGTTCTCCATTGATTTTTCCTCTCGGAAGCTCTAAAAAACATCCTGTGATGGCATTTTCCTGGTGCTGTTTTCCCCGTCACCCATCTATTCAGGCTCTCGGAATACAGTATAATATAACACAGATGGGTCAAGCACAGAAGACTGAAAATAACGCCTCCGTCAAACTGTGCCTGCAGTCCCGTTTTTCTTCTTCTTTATCTTTGTAAGATGTCCTTCGAGCTACGGAACCCTCGAACTACTGAGGCCGGTCCTGACGAATTCGAGCCACCATCCATGTCATACTGTAAGATTCTCTGGAACCACCCCTAAAGACCGAGACACTCTACAAAAATTCTCCCCAGGCAGGAATCAAACTCGGGTCTCCTGTATGCAACGGTGAGGCAACTAGCCGCTACATCACCGATACCGTCCACTTGATCGGGACTATGATAAACAGTAACACTGTGTACATAAGTAGAAGGAGCAGACCCCACGTAAAGACCTGAATTGTTACTTTCAGAGTCTCGTCTTCACACACCTTTTTCGAACCGCACACAACAAGAGCCTGGATTAATTAAATTTAATTAACGGTCAGGTTTCAAAGTGTGTCCGTACACACACTTTTTATGACTACACACCAAGAAGAGTGTGAACTGACGACTGGTCGATTGCTCCATCTGTCAAAACCTTTCTTCGACAACACGTCACAGTGTTGACTGACCATGTGCAAGTCTCCGCATCCGTCTGCACCCACCTTTTTTCAAACCACACTTCAGAACCTGAATTGAAAACCGGTCAGTATCAGTGACTGTCCGCGCATACTTTTTTTCTTTTGCTTCACACAGAGTGAATTATTGTCCGGTCAGTATCTGCATCTGCATACAAACACCCTTTTTTAAAAAAAATCACACATCAGGCAGGGTGTGACTTGATGACTGGTCAGGATTTGCATCTGCATATATGTCTGCCAAAATAATTTTTTCAACTACACATCAAAGCGGGATTTGACCATGTCTGACTTCCAGCATCTTCCTGCAAATACCTTTTTTGACCAGACATTAGGCAGAATGTGAATTGTCGACGGGTCAGTTTCTGCACGTGCATCTGTCTGCAAAAACCATTTTTTGAGCACACATCAGTGTTTGAATTGATGAGGAGAGAGTTTCAGCGTCCAATTGCAAACACCTTGCTTGGGCCACACATCAAAGCCTGAACAGCCAACCGGTCAGTTGCAACTCCCGTCTGCACACATCTGTCTTCTTTTGACAACACATCAGAGTGTGAATCGTTGACCAGTCAATTTCTGTGACTGCATCTGTCTACCAAACACCTGTTTTCCAGAGCCTGAATTTACCAGGTGTGAGTTTCAGTGTTCGTCTGCAAACATCCATTTTCTTTTTAACCACACATCAAAGGATGAAAGGACAACCGGTCAGTTTCAGCTTACGTCAGCACACACCTTTTTTCGACAACCCATCCGAGTTTGAATCGGTGATCGGCCTTTTTCATCGTCTGTCTGCACACACATCTTTTTTTTATCTCAGAGTGTGAACTGGTGACTAGTCATTTTCAGCGTCTGCATCTGCATCTGCCGGCACATGTCTTTGTCCACCATCTTTTCTGGTTCCTGAGTCATCATTGGCTGCGTGTTCATCGCCCCGACTCTCACTTGCAGGATCTCCTTCATGTGCGTCTTTTCGTGCCGCTTCAAGTGGAACGGGCGGGTGAACCGGGCGTCGCAGACCACGCACTTGTGGGGCTTCTCCCCCGTGTGCGTCATCTTGTGCGTCTTGAGGTGGAAGGCGCGCACGAAGCCCGCGTCGCAAATGTCACACTTGTAGGGCCGGACTCCCGTGTGCGAGTACGAGTGGGCCTTGTGCTGCTCCGCGTAGGCGAACTGGGCGTGGCAGATCTCGCACTTGTAGGGCCACTCACCTGTGTGCGACATGCGGTGCGTCTTGAGGTGCGTCTTGCGGGTGAAGCGCGCGTCGCAGAAATCGCATTTGTGTGGCTTCTCCCCAGTGTGCGTCATGATGTGCATCTTGAGGTGGTCGTAGCGCGTGAACATGGCGTCGCAGAAGTAGCACTTGTGCGGCCGCTCCCCCGTGTGTGTCAGGAAGTGTGTCTTGAGGCCGGTGGCACGCGTGAACCGTGCCTCGCATATCGAGCACTGATAGGGCTTCTCCCCCGTGTGCTTTCGGTAGTGCTTCTTCAGCGCGCTGGGAATGGGAAAACACGCGTCGCACGTGTCGCACTTGTACGGCTTCTCCCCAGGAAGTTTCTTCACCTTCGCTTTAGCCGGCGAACCCGAAGAGGAAGACGTCGAGGAGGAAGATGAGGCGACAGAATTCGTGTGTTCACTCCCTCCTCTTCCGCCCTCACCGCCAGTCTTCGAGGCGGACCCGTTCGCGTCAGACACAGAGGCACCCGTGTAACGCTTTGCCCTGTAGCCTTTTCTCTTCTTGGTTCCCGCCCAGCGCTGGGTGGAGGGACCAGCGGCCGACTCCGTCGTACCCCCAGACGTGGATGCTGCTGCTGCTGCTGCTGCGGCTGATGAGGCGCTCTTTTTCCTCCGTGGCCGCGTGGAATAGCCCGTGCTTGTCTCGGCAGGCGTCGTCACATTGCTGTAATCTGGCAGCAACGGCAAGTCTGATGGAAGACAAACAAACAGAACTATCTGAAGCGGTGATCGTTGGATAGATAAGAAACAGTACATCTGGCAGGTGTGTGCCAACTTTGTCAAACCCCAATCGGGGTCACTCAGTGCTATTTAGTTTTAGTGAAAGTGTATTACGGCACTTGTAACACAATAAGGTCATATATATATATGTGCCGAAGATTAGAGGTGTTACAAGAGAGTAACAAACACAAAGAAGAAGGAGGGGAGATAAAAGACGATGGATGTTTCATAGGAAAGAAGAAGCAAACCACACCAGAGCACCCGCCAACCACCCACACTCAGTGTTATAACATCAAGATACACACCACTGAACGACATCTCTTCCCACATTCCTGATTGCCCACCCGGGACAGTCTCAGGGGAAATTCAGGAAAGTTCACAAACCTGATGCAGTCCAACCAACCTGCTCTAAAGGCTACTAAACTAAAGTAGTGGGGTGCTCGCCCACAAGAACAATGGGAAAAGCCAAGTCCAGCCCGAAAACGAAAGGAGATAACCAAGGGTATTTTAACATTCTTGAGAACTTGGCGATGAATCACTTCCCTTTACTATGCATGCTTTTTAAGCAATTTCTCTAATTTCGGAAAATCTTCAGCTGTCCACTGATATCGACGATGACTGAAGCAGTAGTATGCCATGAAACAGTTTAACCAGGACCGTAGACCTAAAATAGAGCAACTAGATTGATTTACTTCCCTCCCTTCAGATCACTATCTTGATGTCCTTGATATACTCCAAAGGAGAGACATCATCAATGTTAAGAATCAAACAAGGTGTAAGGATGTGACTTTTATATAAATTTAATAGAGCCTGCTGTTGAACGGGGATATGCGCTATACAAATGCTATTTATTATTATTTATTATTATTATTTTTTATTAAAATTAAGCAAGTAGATTGATTTACTTCCCTCCCGTCAGATCATTATCTTGAAGTCCTTGATATACTCCAAAGGAGAGACATCATCAATGTTAAGAATCAAACAAGGTGTAAGGATGTGACTTTTATATAAATTTAATAGAGCCTGCTGTTGAACGGGGATATGCGCTATACAAATGCTATTTATTATTATTTATTATTATTATTTTTTATTAAAATTAAGCAAGTAGATTGATTTACTTCCCTCCCGTCAGATCATTATCTTGAAGTCCTTGATATACTCCAAAGGAGAGACATCATCAATGTTAAGAATCAAACAAGGTGTAAGGATGTTTTTTTTAGTTTTAGTAGAGGTTTTACGGCGCTCGCAACTGCATAAGGTCATATGAGCGCCAGAAGATTAGAGGTGTTACAAGAGAGTAACAAACATAAAAAAGACAAAGGGGAGATAAGGACGATAGATGTTTGATAGGAAAGAAGAAGCAAACCACACCAGAGCACCCGCCAACCACCCACTTGTAAGGATGTGACTTATATGTAAATTTACAATTTACAGGAAGGATGGCCCAGGACAGACTTAAATGGAAGGAGCTTGTATGTGGCCTATACCCCACCACGGGTGCAAGGCATTGATGATGATGACAATGATGATAAATACACAGATAAGACGTCCATCTATCTAGAACATTTACCTCATCGAGAATAGAGGTGGCAGTCTTGGGACAATTTCAACTGTATTTGTACTGAATATATAGCTGCCAACTTTTCAACCCCCCCCCCAGTGGCAGATCCAGATGGAGGGCACTTCCTAAGGTTAAATAAAATCCCCTCCAGACTTTCACAAACCAAACATTTATGAATTTTCTTTTAGTTCTTTTAGTTTTAGTAGAGGTTTTACGGTGCTCGCAACTGCATAAGGTCATATGAGCGCCAGAAGATTAGAGGTGTTACAAGAGGGTAACAAACATAAAAAAGAAGAAGGGGAGATAAGGACGATAGATGTTTGATAGGAAAGAAGAAGCAAATGACACAAGAGCACCCGCCAACCACCCACACAAATTTTCTGAATTCATGCTCAGTAGGTAACTATGATTATAAATGACACAACTCTACAATTGACCTAGCAGCTCCGCTCTCATTTTTATTCCCAAATAGACTTAAAAGTTATTACCATATTTAATTTTTCTATCAGCTCGGCAAGTCCTTGAGAAGCAGTTATATAGAAAACAGAGAATGCATTATATTTTCCGACATGAAAACGGGACATCACTACTCAGTTAATTCAGACCCTAAAAAAAAAAAGATTTCTTAAAAAACATATTAAATTTGTTTTTGACGCACAAATTGACTGACAGTACCGTACCTGGCAGCGGTTGTTCCGGCGGGAACCTCTCGGCTGCGACCGTGTCCGATGTGGCAGCGGCCGCGGGTGTGTTGAGCGCCTGGAACTTGGCGATGTCCTGCATCTTGGCGTTGAGAACGGAGGTACAGGCATCCAGGTAGGCCCTGGCGCAGTGCATCCGGATCAGTGCGGACACGTCAAAGTCGCTGCCCGCGGTGCCCTGGCTGTAGCCTTTGTACGCCTCCAAGGTCGCGTCCTCGATGTTGCTCATCACGGCCGACACGTGATTTCTCCGCAGGTCCTCAGACGCCGCCGCGCCTCCAACTCGGTCCGCGTTCGCCCCTGTGGTGCTCTGCGGTTTTTCCTTGGCCAAGTTGAAATCACCGAGACCGCCAGTATTTCCACCAATTCCACTAAGACTTCCACCAACACCATCACTAAGACTACCACCAACACCACCACTAAGACTACCACCAACACCACCACCACTACTCCCACTACCACCACTATTATTTCCACCAGCACCACCGCCAAAACCACCACCAGCTCCACCAAGACTACCACCACCACTGCTCCCACCAAGACTACCACCACCACTGCTCCCACCACCACCACTACTCCCACCAACACCACCACTTAGACTACCACCACCACTTCCGCCAAGACTACCACCACCAGCCACATTTGTACTCCCTCCAAAAGGCACATGACTTCCCATTGGTTTATTATTCATCAAGTCCATAACTGACGGAAAATCGGGTCTGCCGATATCCCTCCCCTGGGAGGAAAAATTGTTCTCCATCTTCGTTCTTGTAACACTTCACTGACAGAACGTCGCACAAAAGCACCAGAAATACCAAAAGTGAATTTCAATGTCAAAAGATTTAAGTCAGCTTCAGCAATGTGGCTCTTCCATAAACACTGATCATATTCATCCTAGCAGAGAAACTGTGTAAAAATCCTCCACAGGTTATACGATAAACTGGATGGTCAGTTCACAGCTATCTGAATGGTTAGTTTACAGTTACCGTGATGGTCAGTTCACAGTTATCTCAGTGGTCCATTTACAGCTATCTGAGTTGTCAGTTCACCGCTATCTTGATGGTCAGTTCACCGCTATCTTGATGGTCAGTTCACCGCTATCTTGATGGTCAGTTCACCGCTATCTGAATGACCAATTTACAATTATTTTGATGGCCAGGCCACGGCTATGAAGTACAGAAATTTATATACAGCATGGGAAAGTAATTAAGTTAGAACACCTCTCCTCAATCCCACAGAACACCTCCAACAGCTGATGCGCTATAACCTGATCCATGAATGGGTCAGGACTTCTCTGGCGGACACGATACACCGCCTGCTTCCCACAACTTTCCTCCTGGTTGTTGAAAGCAGGATAGGATCAGCCCAAATCCGCACCGCCCACTCGATGATTCATCACACGAGAGGCTAAAAGCCTCACTGTAATGATGGCTGGACCTGAGGGAAAGAAAAAAAAAGACAAACGTGTCATATTAATAAATACTGTAAAACACTTTTTATTGTCAATAATACTTGAAATTATAGCGCATATGTCCATGCTCTACAGCAATACTTTATGTACTTAACAACTATTACATTACTTGAATTTCACACACACATGCTCAGATGCAAGAAAAGACCAAGGAACTCAACAGCCTGTCAAGGAGTGTTGGCCTACGTATACATGATCCAGGCAAGTCAAAAGTAGTGAAGCTATGAAAAGGTTCAAGCCCTGCTGTGACAGTGGAAGACACTCCCCTGGAAGAAGTGGACTCCTTTACCTACCTTGGAAGAGCCATCGATGGTAATTGTGGAACTGAGGCAGATGTAAAAGCAATAACCGCCATGGCAAGGTCAGCATTCAATCAATTATCAAAAGTCTGGAAAGCGAGCAACATGATCTCACAGACACCAAGATTCGACTTTTAAATTCCAACGTCAAGTCTGTGCTCCTCTACGGCAGCGAAACTTGGAAGACAACGAAATCAGTACAGAATAAAGTCCAGACTTTCATCAACAGATGTATGAGGAGGGTTCTAAGAATTAAGTGGAAGGATAGAATAAGAAATGAAAAGCTGTGGGAAAGGACAGGACAAAAGGATATTGTAGTGGAAATAGGACTAAGAAAGTGGCGATGGATGGGACACACCTTAAGAAAGCCCAGCGGAAACATCACAAGACAGTCACTGCAGTGGAACCCACAAGGAGCACAAGGCAGGGGTAGGCCGCGAGAAACATGGAGAAGATGAGTGGAAAGGGACGTGAGAGAAAGGAAGCTCACTTGAAACAAGCTTGGAAGGATGGCTCAGGACAGAGATAAATGGAAGGAGCTTGTATGTGGCCTATACCCTGCCAGGGGTGAAAGGTGATGATGATGATGGAAGTTTGCATTGGTGTGCTCAAAATACAGTCCAGGAATCACAAAAAAACCCACAAAAAAACAACACTTTTGGCACAAAATTTACAAACTCAAGATTGTAAAGCTGACAAACTGCTAATGTAGGTTCTACATGATCCTATATTTGACATGTGTATAAGCTTTGGAGGAATAAATACTAATGCATCACATTTTATGCACACTATTTTGAGATGATTGTTTTTCCTTATTGCAGTGACTGTTGCGTACATGATGGGTTTTGAAGTAGTAGAATCTATCTTGATGTAGACCTAAGCTTTAAAAAGGAAAATGTTTTCGATTTAGTCAGGTATCCCGATTTTTTGCCCCAAATCTCAAGCATCCCAGTTTTCCAGGGATAAGAAATTTGTTGGCACATTCGGTCGGTCGGCCATTGTAGTTAAAGCCCGGAACGACTGTCACTCGTCCCAGTGTTTGGTGTGAATGCGCAGTTAGTTGGGTTCGTCGGAAAAACTTTCAATTCTATCTTGCATTTGCATCACATGACATGACATCGGCGTGTGAGTTCCACACGTGTGTCTGGGACCATCCGTTGACAGGGTCAACTTCGGTTAATTCCCACTGGTTGAGGTGTCTTTCAGGACTTATTGGTTGGGTGGAGGGAGGAGGAATATATATATGGACACTTGGACTAGGAGTTCTTGACGTGATACTTCAGTATTTAAAAAAAGAAATGATAGAACACACACACACACACACGTGCGCACACACACACACACACACACCCACACGTGCATGCGCTCTAACAAACGCACACAGAGAGCATATCTATCTATTATGGATACCCCCTGGAAAATTTTTTATTCAGCTTGGCAGACACCTTGGTTGTTGATCCCGATATTTCCCCCCGGAGATCCTGATTTTGAGATTTCACAGAGTGGCAGGTCTGTGATTCGGCTGTTTTAACATTTGCCGTGATCGTCGTCACTTTGCGACGTACCGGAAGTCAGAATTTTAGCCCACTTTTATTTTGAACGGATCATCAACAGTGCCCGGATATAATTGATTTCTCGAGTGACTTCCCCTTACCCGCTTCCCCAGAACAGCGGAAGCAAAGGCGGAAAGAGAAAAACGAAAGTAGTCATTGCCATCAGCGTCCGGTGACGCACAAGAATCTTACGTTGAATGTGACGTGTACAGGACTGTTTTGCGTGTTTTTACGCTACCCTTTTGTATATTTTAGTGAAATTGTGGTGTTTACATTGGATTCCTGGAACAAGAGTGTGATGTGGGAACAAACTTCGAGAGATGGATCATTTCTGTGGTTATAGATTTAGCTTTTGTGCTTAGTGATGACGTTCTGGGTGTCGTCATGCAGCCGTACAAGACTGACTGACGTACTAAAAATTACATTGTCCTACGAGCAAACATTTTTTAATGTCATGTGCGCTCTCTTTACTCAAACAAATAAACAAATATGTCCTCGTTTATCTGCGTAACTCAAAAGTACACATTTGTTCTTTGTTGGCATGATATGCCTTTTTCAAATATATTTCATACATGCAAGATTCATTTAGTAGCAAAATACGCCTTTATTGATCTGTGTATCTCATAGTGCAAATTCTTTCTTTGTAGGCATGATTTTACCTTTTCCCAGTATGTTTTGTCATCACTGTTATGTACGAGTACTGTTTGTCATAATTAGCAGCATAATTGTGATTGTCCACTGTCTTTGATATGACCTGATATCTGTTTAAAAGCAAAAAAGAAACCTCTCCTGGGTTTTTTAAATTCTTAAAGTGCGCATTTCTCTCTGGAAGCATGACTTTGTCTTTTCCTGTACATTGTGTCATCATTGTTATATGTACAAGTCATGTTTGTCATCACTGTATAAATGTACAAGTCAGCCCCATTGATTTTGTGCTTTTGCCTCATATTAATTTAAAAATTGTTTTACACATGTTTTTCTGGTGCTGAGGCTTTGATAACTGTATTTGTACAGCCTTTCACTATTGAGATGTGTTGTCATTGATAAGATAATGTCCAATGTGTAACCTTACTTGTACATAACAATGATGACATGTTCTGTGCACTGCGTCATAGTTACAATACTTGTCATTCATAATACCATTATGAATGGAGTTCACTGTGTACAAAGTCTTTGTTTACTAAACAAATGGAATTTAAAGTCCATAATTTGCCTTGCTGCTTATCTGTTTTTGTCATCACTGTTACACAAGAAATACAGTGGTTGCCAAACCAATAAACCCATATCTCCAAAACCCTACATCTCCTTGCTCTGATACTCTAGGAATATGAGCACTTTTAAATGTCAATCTGTGACAGACAGAAAAGGGAGTCAAATTGGTAAGAAAAATTTTGTTGCACCACACTGAATCTCAAGAGTCTCACGTTTTGGCAACTGCGCATTTAACATTTTTTTTTACATGACATGAAGCTACAGCGAGCACCTAGCCCACCTCCGTGATTGGCCCTAATATGACGTATTCCACCATCTATTTTTGTCGTCTTCCAGAGTTTCCCCCACATCCAAGACCCTACAACAAGTTTTTCGCGCGTGCACACACAAGGAAGTTGCTATCCTCACCCGGGGTGAGAATAAAAATACGATCGACCTCTCACCCACGGTGAGACTTGCCAGCGTAGGCTATTCTCACCCGGTGTGAAACAAGACCTGTTTGTCCTAATTTGGAAATACTGTCTATCCGTGTGGATGATCAAATTGACAAAAGCAAAGAAAAAATGACGTTATATAATAGCACAAAAGTAAGCTAATTTGATCGATTACAATGCAATAGATGGCTATTTCACTTTTCGAATCGACCCGAACTACGCGGGTCGCCATTTTGTTTTGCCCGGAAGTTCTCGCAAGATCTACTCCTCCTCCCCTCTCTCTCTCTTTATAAGTCTATCGGTGTGGACGACCAAATTGACAAAAACAAAAGATAAAAAATGATGTTAAAACACATAAGTAAATTGATTTGGTCGGCCACAAAGATGCTATGGCTATTTAACTTTTAGAATCGAGCCGAACTACGCGGGTCGCCATTTTGTTTTGCCCCAAAGTTCTTGCGCTTCTACTCCTCTCTCTCTCTTTCTCTAACTGCCCACAGACAAAATTGCCCACTTTCAACACAAGAGCGCTGGAACGTTTGTTCACAGCACAAAATTCTACATTTCTGTTATCACAATGTAGAATTCTGTGGTTCACGGTCACGGTGAACGCTACACAGGTTGGTTAGCCTCTAAGGCTATTATGGTGAATGCATACTGGGCTCGCCCCTGCGCTATTCTCATCGGCCGTCGTTATTCGGACTCGAGTCCGAATAATATTTTTTCATATTCGGACTCGAGTCCGAATAAAAAAAATTCTTATTCGGACTCGAGTCTGAATATGAAAAAATGTTATTCGGACTCGGGTCCGGAAAAAAGGAAGTGTCTTCGTTCTATAGATCTAACGTTCAGTGCTTCCAATTTTCCGCCATTTTTTAGTTTCCCCCACACCTTTTCTGCCGATCCGATGCCCGTCGCCTCATTGATACGCCCCCCCACCCCCCATGTTTCCCACTTTCTTTGTTGTAGAAAAAGATAAAATTGAAGATTAGCAGACCACCTGGCACCTGCATATTATGAGCTGTGTAAAAAAAAAAGACCGATTCGTTCAAATACACAAGCCTGTGTCATCTTGATTGTTTACCAAGAAAAAGTTGTGTTGCTGTGTAGAGCTGAGCATATGGCAACTTTTGATTCCATAGACCAGCGCACAATTCATTACGTAGAAATACGTCAAGATTAGCTTATTATTGTAATTTAATAATGATCAGATGCCGGGGGGAAAAAGACTGACGCGTATGCGACGTTCAACGCCCGGACCCATAG